GGAATACCTAGTTGGGGTATTTTCTAAACCATAAGAACTTCTGGGGCAGGGACCCTGGCTGATAACTTTTGTTCGCCCCAAACGCTGGGCGGGACTGTTGGGATGAGAGGCTGACAGAATTGGGAGGAAATTCCCACTTTCTTCTTATGCAAAGGAGGAGGCAAAAGTTGGCAGTCCCGTAGCACCTCTTACAAGCGGCAAAAGATCCTAACTCTCTCTTCAAATTACTGGGGTCAGTTTGGCCCCCTCATTTTTCAAATGGGAAAACTACAGGGTTTTCGGGATCTGGTCTGACTACAATCTTATTTGGGTTGCAGAATGACTTTAATCAATCGAGGTATTTATTAAGCACCTACAATGTTCAGGCAGCTAGGTGGCGCAGTGGATCGACTGCCATGCCTAGAGTCAGGAAGACCATTTTTCTGTCTTCAAATCAGGCCTCAAACACTACTAGCTGTAAGTCAAACCCTGTTGGCCTCAGTTTTCTCATCTGTAAAATGAGCTGGAGAAGGAAATGGCAAACCACTCCAGTATCTTTCGAAAGAAAATACCAAATGGAGTCACAAGGAGTTTGGACGCAACTGAAAACGACTTAACAAATTAATTTTTTTCAATTCACCTACAAGGAAATTATGAGAAACTCAAAATTTCTTGCTGAAATCCAGATATACTGGATTAATTTCTTGCCTAATTTACCTAACAGTTAACACTGACCAATTAAAAAAAGTATCATAAAAGCACAGAGTTGCAAAAGAACTTGGGTCATTTAATTCAACTTGCTTCTCAACAGGAATTTTCCATACTACATCACCTCAGAATCATCATCCATGCTTTATTTGAAGATCTTCTGTGAGGGGAAACGCACCACTATCTAGGTAGGCCCATTCCATTCTGGGACAATTCTAGTTATAAAGTTTTGTTCCTTTACAATGAACCTAAATAGGAGGTTTTGTCAAATTGAGTTCTTCGATATTTATCTCCACTGACTCCTACCCCTTTCTACAAAAAAAATGTTCAGATATCTTGAGCCCTTAAAAAAAAAAAAAACTTCCCTTAAATAGTTCGCAAAAGAATTGACTACTTCCTCACCATCTCAACCCCTTGCAATTTGGTTTGTCCTTAACCATTCTCCAGAAAATGCTCTTTCAAAGGTCACTAATGTTTCAGTTTGATCACTTCCTCCTGAATACTCTTTACTTCCTTTGTTTCAGACACCACTACCCTGATTCAGACTTTTGGGACACCCTGTATATAGAGTCTCCCTAAGCAATCCCATAAATTCCCATGGTTTCCAACTACTATCTTTATGCAAATGATTCTCAGATCTATATATCTCACCCTTTTGTTCAAATGGAGAATCTGATTGTCACACTGCACCTGAAACAAAACTTGGACAAAATTAAGCTTATCATCATTCCCCCTAAACCTGCTCCTTTCAAATTAAGTGGTACCAGTTTCCACTCATTCTACATTTGAAATTTGGGTGTCTTTTTAAAATCTTTCATACACCTCAAATCCAATTAGCCCTATCGATCCACTTCTGCAACACCTTTTGCATCTATCCCCCCTATTCTCACTACCATCACCCTAGCATAAGTTCATTACCACCTACCTGAAATATTTTAAGTGTCCTAACAAGTTTTCCTGCCCCTATTTTCTTTCCTCTAATATATCTGGATATAATTGCTTTGTTATATATGTACGGTTGGTTATATCATTCCTCTGCAATGGCTTTCTGTTGTCTTATCAAGCAAGGTTCAGGCTCATGTCTTGACTTTGAAGGCCCTCTACAATCTGATGCTACTCCATCTTTTCAGTCTTATATTCTCAGCTCCAGCCAAGGCTGACCACCCTCTAACTCTAGCATTCCCATTTCATGTCTTTCTTTGTTCATGTTGTTCCCTACATTGAGTACCCTACTTTCCCTTCTTTACTTTCACCTTTAAAACCTAAATCAAATGCCTCCCATAAAGTTTCCTTGATCTCCCTCAACAGTACCTTTTCCCTTTAGATCTAACACAACACAGAACCCCAGAATTTCAGAACTAGAATGGCTATCTAGTCCAACCCATACCTTAAAAATAATTCCCTGTAAAACATACTTAATAAATGGACATCGAGCCTTTGCTGGAAGATCTCAGATGAGAACTCACCACATCCTAAAGCTAACTGTGGGGTCTCAAATTGTATTATAAAGCAGTAATCATCAGAACAATCTTGTAGTGGCTAAGAAATACAGTGGTGGATCAGTGGAATAGATTAACTGCACAATACACAGTAGTAAATGACTATAGTAACCTAGTGTTTGACAAACGTAAAAATCCAAGATGATGGGACAAGAAATCACTATTTGACAAAAATTGCTGATAACTGGAAAGCAATTTGGCAGAAACTAGCTATCTCACTGTATACTGAGATAAGATCAAAATGGAAACATGACTTAAGAGATAAATGGTGATATCAGAAGCAAATTAGGGGAGCATGGAATATTTTACCTGCCAGATCTATAGATAAGGGAAGAATTTATGATCAGACAAAAGATAGAGAACATTACAGGATGTAAAAAAGATAATTTTGATCACATCAAATTAAAAAGGTTTTGCACAAACAAAACCAATGCAGTCAAGATTAGAAGGAAAGCAAAGCTGGGGGGGAAATTTTACAGCAAGTTTCTCTGATAAAGGCCTCATTTCTCAAACATATAGAGAACTGAGTCAAACCTAACAATACAAGTCATGACAAATGGTCAACGGATATGTGCACAGGCAGTTTTCAGACAAATCAAAGCTATAGTCATGAAAAAATGTTCTAAATCACTATTGGTTAGAAAAAAACAAATTCAAAAAAACTGAGATACCACCTCATACCCATCAGATTGGCTAATATGACAGAAAGGAAAATGGTAAATGTTGGAGGGATGTGGGGAAATTGGGGCACTAATGCACTGCTGGTGGAGTTGTGAACTGATTCAACTACTCTGGAGAGCAATTTGGAACTATGCCCAAAGGGCTATCAAACCGTGTATACTCTTTGATCCAGCAATGCTACTACTAGGTCTGTATCCCAAAGAGATCACAAAAAAGGGAAAAGTATCCACATGTACAAAAATATTTATAGCAGCTCTTTTTGTGATAGCAAAATTGGAAACTAAGGGGATGCCCATCAATTGGGAAGGGTTGAAGAAGTTGTATATGATTATAATGGGATACTATTGTGGTATAAGAAAATGATGAGTAGGCTAACTTACACAAACTGATGTACAGTGAGCAGAACCAGAACACTGTATACAATAACAGCAATATTGTACAATGATCAACTGTCAATGACATAGCTACTCTCAGCATTACAATGATCCAAGACAATTCTGAAGGACTTATGACGAAATATGCTATCCACCTCCAGAAAAAGAACTAATGGAGTCTGAATGCACTAACGCATACTTTTACTTTGAGTTTCATCTGTTTTCTGGCTAATATGGAAATGTTTTGTATAACTTCACATGTATAATCTCTACCAAATTGCTTACTATCTCAGGGAAGGGGGAAGGAATTTGTAACTCAAAATTTTAAAAAACAAATGATAAAAATTGTTTCTACATGTAACTGAGGGAAAAAATTTCTAAATTTAAAAAGAAAAAGACAGCGTGATGGTTAGGGAGTTCTCTTCCTTGACAACAAGCTTAAAATTGCCACTCTGTAACTTCCACACTTTGCTCCTGGTTCCACACTCCGGGTCCAGGCAAGACATATAATTTCTATTCCAGCTGATATCCCTTCAAATATTGGAGGACATCTATAGTATACTTCACCCACCTAAATCTCCTAATCTTCAAGATAAGGCATCTCCTTATTTTCCATATACTGGCCCTCAAAACAGAACGAAGCATGTTTCAATGTGAGGGGAACAAGTGAGTAAAACTTTTAATTCCTTTTCTGCATGTACTTAAGTAGCTGAGGAAAAATGAATGCATAATTTCTAGACAAAATCGTGGAGTTAACACCAACTTATTTCTACTTGTATACGGTCTTCATTTCACTACAAAGAGGAACCATGGCCTCTTGAAGAAAAGTCACCATTCTGCATTTAACTGTATTCACATGCTGCATTTCTATATTTTTATCTGTTGTGTAAAGTCTAATAATTAACCATGTTGTTGTGTTAAAAAAAAAAATCTCCAATCCTTTTAACTTTCTCTGGACACTTGTTTATCAGTATCTTTCCTAAATGCCCAGACCTATACATAATATTTTGTACATAGTCTGACCAAAATACAGTGAAACCGTCACCTCCATATTTCCGGAAGTAATGTCAATCTCACTGCAACCTTTCTGGCTGCCACATCAGATTGCAATCCATTAAAATCCTAAGATCTTTCATAGACTGTTAGGTAGCTATACCCTACCTCACCCTAACTATACCACTCCCCTAAAAAATCTGACTAGCTTGATTTTTTTTTAATCCTAAGTATAAGACTACATTCATTCCTATCAAATTTCATATTACTTGATATGACCCAATGTTCCAGTCTATCAGAATCAAGGTAGTATCCCCATTTCACAGATGGGAAAACTGAGGTTAGAAGGCCAAGAGGCTTGTCCATGGTTATACAACTAGTGTTGGAACAAGAATTCAGACGTCTTTTTGACTCTAAGCACAGCATTCTGTTCGCTACACCACATTGATCATATATTAAATTACGTATTTGTGTCATCCTTCTACTACACCACAAGCTCCATAAGGAAAAGGACTATTTTTCATGAACTCTTTTTTTCCAGTGCCTAGCATAATAGGGGCTTAATAAATATTTACTACAGAATAAATGGGTATTGATGGGTTATGTAGAAAAAAATGAGGAACAATAGTCCTGTTCCCATAATGCAGCCAAACCTACATGACAGATCAGTATAGGGCACTGAAGCTGGAGTTACATAGATTTAAGTAAGGCAAAAATAAGTTACTGAACAAATAGTGCAAGTTGAGAACAACACACTTTGAAGAACTGCTTCCAAAGGGGTTCATTTTATTGCGAAAAAAAAATTCCAAAAATTTATATTATGACTTTTCAAATTACCAAAATTCTTGACAGCTTAAACTATCTCTCCCAAACCACCATATACAGCAAGGAAAGTCTTCTAAGTGGTTCTTTGTAATGCTGCCTTAAAATGTTGTCAAAACCACAAATGATCTTATTGGAACACACCAGAGGTATTGAAATAGCCCAAGATGTCTTTAACCATACGCTTTACAAATAATTCTTGTGCACAAATTCTCATTGTATATTATTTCCAACTTGGTGCTTCCCCCAGTGAGACAAACTCACAATCACCCACCCACAACTGTGGACAATTCTAATATTTTACTTAACAGTTTCTTGTGAAAACACCAGAGAAGAGGTTCATCTGCTAACCAAGAGTAGTTACGTTACAGACAGCCCTCCTCAAAGGCTTTCTTAATGTTTCAAGCAAGCTGCTTATCTTTTTCCCTTGCCTTATGGGAATTTTTAATGCATGAGGAACACTGGAATCTAAATTGATCTTTCTCCCTTTATGAAACATATACAGCAGAAATGTACATACATAAAGACACTTTACACACACAAAAGTGAATTTACCAATTCCAAACTCATCAGTTTTTGAGAACCAACCACTAAATGAGTGGACATAAGCCAATCCCCCTCTATAAACTACATGAAAGAGATGAGACCTGAGTTTCAGATCAACACTTTGCAGAACCATCTCCCTATCAATTATGCTTAGTGCAATAAAATTCCCATTTACTCTCAATTCCCTTTTTCTGAACCCAAACAAGACCTTGTGTTCCTTAAATACCATTATAAACTTCATGATTTTCATCAATCAGTATGCCTGTTTCCATGAGAAACCAGAAGCTTCTACTTGTTTAATTTTTTTCTTCTTTTATATTGTACAATTTTTTGACATGTGCTGCACCCCCCAACCTTACTGTAAAAACGACAGAAAAACCCACCCAGCCACAGGTTTAATGTTTTCCATTAAGTTTTCTAACTGTAATTCCTGATCATGTGAAGCACCCAGCACCCCTTTGAAGTGCCGGATATAACTGGCAGTGGCCCTGACAAAGTGAATTTCAGACCTCCAGCTCTTTGAGTAACGGAGCTGTATCCAGTGCTTAGCAAAAGCCTGACTTTTCAGGGCATCCTGTGCTAATGGTGGCACTTGTCCAGAGCTGGTACATCTCCTCAAGATTAGGGAACCCTAACAGTATCAGTGAGAGAACTCTCCTACGTACACCCCTCCTACAAACAAAGGGATAGAGATACATAAGCTCTCCAAACCAACACGTGTGGTAGTGAGGTCTGTTCCCTACCTAGTCCCACCTCTTCAGGTTTTTTTTTCTTCTTTTTTTTTTTTTTTTTGCTGTGAAGTAGGAGGGATGAAAACCTAACCTGAGTCACAAGAACCAAAGACAGTGAAGGCCGCAGAAGGAAGTAACCAGGACTAGCTGGGAGACTCCCCCTCCCTCCACACCCAATGAGCAGGTTTCACCAGAAAACAAACTAACAAAACAACACACACACACACACACACACACACACACACACACACACGCAAACTGGATTTACAAAATCCATTCATCCAAGGGTGGCAGAGCAAAGGGGAGGGATGGCACGGGGAGAAAAGCAAAGTGTTCAAATCAGCACAGGCACAGGGCTGGCAAAGGCTAGAAAACATCTGCAGAAAAATCTGCGGTCACGCTGACAGCATTAAAAATCCACACCTGGCATCAAAAAGATTCTGGCCTACACTCACAAGATAGTAAAACTCCAGATCCCACAGAGAACAACGGGAATGTGCTGAGGGCCCTTGGCAGGGTGGGTCCTGCTTTCCCTGGGTTAGGGGAAACTGAGGAAGCCACCACCAGTGCCTCCCCCGAAAGCCATCCCTCCCCTTGGAGGCAGCTCAGTGGGCTGCAGCGGCCTTCAGTTTGGCAGGAGATGGATGAGGTGAGGGGAACTTTTCGGCAGAGGCTGAGCTGCTCAGGGCAGACTGCAGGTAGACCGTCTTGTGAAAGAGTCTGTTGCTTAGGAAGACCACCAAGGAGAAGAGGCGTAACTGGAAGAGGCTGAAAAGCAAGAAAACCATGTCAGACTTTGTATCTGGACTATACTGGCTCTGCTCTTCTCACATGCTCTTCTTAGCTGAGTCTGAACCTTTAATCTGTTGATAGGTACGTTCAGTTTGGCATCCCCAGGGGCAGGAGTCGTACTAGAAGCTTTCTTAAGAGCTGACTGACAGACTGCAAAGTTCTGAGACTATAAAGGCCTGTGTTCTGATTTATAGAGAGCTATTAGGTAAGCAGGATTTCTCCTTGGGAGAGTATCATGTGACCTCTCAACACAGGATAAGTCAAAAGAAACACCAAAAACTAAGCCCAGTTGTTTATGATTGCCAGTTCTTACTCTTACAGTTAATACCTCAGGTATGGTCTCTGACCCTAGTGACCAAGTACTGACTAAGAACTTACTACGCTTTCCCAGGGGTCTTTGCTTCATTGGCGCTGATGATGAACAGAGGGAAGAGGATAGAGAAGAGGCAGCCGCTGCAAAAAAAAAATGACAGAAAGTGAGATGGCTTCACAGAAACCCCAATGTCTAAGTGGGAAGATATAAGAAGCCAAAAGGACCCAAAAGGGCATGATTCTCACATCTTAAGAATTTAATGAATATATTACGGGACAGGTTAGCCAGATACTTTCTGGGAGAAGAGGGACAAATCTCAAATGATGCTACTGGATGTGTTCAGGGACAAACCTCAGCTTTTATCCTCACTACCTTCCCCAAATTCTTTAATTCAGATTACCTGATGATGTAAGAAGACTGCATTGCTGTAAGGAAGGCCAAGGGTAGACCAAATCCAAAGTAGTAAGGCCAATTCCTTTCAATGTTGGATAATCGCTGATGCATTTCAATTCCTGATGAAAGAGAAGTTTAAAATACAATATACTGAGACAAATCTTAAAGACCATTCTTGAAACATTTCTGTCATCTCTAAGTACACAAAACACTTAAGAAATTCAGCTGATTTTAGCAAAGGGATTGCTCCATTACAACTATCCTAAGTGAAATCTCATGACAGATATGATCACAAGCAGTAATCAAGTTTTATTTGTAACATGGTCTATTTGTTTAAAAAAGCAAATGGTACCAGCACAGCCTTAGTAATTTAAGATTTTCATTATAATGTTATTTGCCATAACAAATTTCTACTGAAAAACGACTATTAGGGAGAATGTGCCTACACAGATTAAATACAGTTAAAAGTGTGTCCTAAAAAAATATAATCTCTAGAAAGAGCCATATGGGAGAACAGAAGTCATTTTGATTCTCCCAGACCAAGATTTCTTGAGTATTTATCTACTCTCCTTTATTGGCTTTATCTCCTCAGATTCCTTGTGGGTGTTCCCTAAATTTCTGTTTAAAATTCTTTTCTAATTACTCATTCTCTTCTGACAACTTCATTTACTCCTAGGGCTAGAACTATTACATCTATACGCAAACTTCTTTCTCTATCCCTACTTTCTCTTTTAAACTCCAGCACTGCATTTCTAATTGCCTATAGGACATCTCTAAATGCCTGTACCACTGGCATATCAAACATGACATTTCCAAAAGTGAATTTATTATCTTTTCCTTTATCCTACCTCCAAAAGGTAGTTAGGATTAGAATTCAGAAAGAAGATAAGAGCTAGACATAGATATGGAACAGAGATGATAACTGAATTCATGGGAGTTGATGACATGAGCAAGTGAGACAGTATAGAGGGAAAAGGTGGCCCAAGGCAGATCCTTGGAAGGTCCACAGTAGGGGCATGTGTGACAAGGATGAAGTACCAGAAAAAAGTATGAAGAAGATCAGACATGCCAAGTGAATAGCATTTATTAAGCACTTAATATGTGTTAAGTAGTGTCCTAAGCACTGGGGACACAAAGGCAAAACATTTCCTGTTCTCAAGACAGGTACAAGAACCAATAGAAAGAACAGGGTCACTAAAACACAAGAGGACAGAGTATCCAGGGGGAGATGGTAGTTAATGGTGACAAATCCTCTAAAGAGGGTAAAAAAAAATGTGGACCAAGAAAAAGGCCATGAGACTTGGCAATTAAGAGATCACTGGAGTTGAACTGAACTTTGAGGTGGATGGGTTGACATGCTACCTGGAGGGCCAAACCAAGGCTGAAACAGACAGGGCAATGATGCCAAACAAGTTTCTTGGACTGTGCTACGAGAAGCTAGTCAAATCCTACTGGCTTCCCACAGAAAGACATGGAATGCTATTGGTGCTGTGAATCTAGTACAGACCATAACTAGTACTAGATTCTGGAAAATGTGTACCATACATACATGAATGGCAAATTGGGGAATGGAAGACTTGTGGGGGAACTGTTCTTCTTAGGGATCTGGTCATTCACAAATGTAAAATGCTCAGGTGGACTTCAAGGAACTTGGTATCTGGCACTGCGCACTTTTGATGCATCATTTGTATACGGATAATTAAATTCCCATATGTTAGTTGCTTATATAGTGAACACTGATATAACAATTACGACAAACTGCATTGTGCCAGATTTCACAGTGAAATCAATGTGAATTTTTTTTTTAAATGACCAAAACAAAAAGCAAGATCACAGTCACTTTGGAGAGCGGTTTCAGATAAATAACGAGGTCAGAAGTCAGACTGAAAAGGGTTAAGAAACTGAGAGGACAAAAGTAGAGGCACCTAATGTAGATGGCCTCTCCAATGAGTTTAATTGAGAAAGGGAGGACTTAGACAACTGCTAGCATGTAGAACTGACCTAAGCCTGTTAGTAGGAGGCGGGAAAGGAGCTCATAGATTAGGAGAAGTTAAATACTGAAGATGAGGGGTAGGGGAAAAAATGATAGTAAGGACAATCTGCTGGAAATACGGGAGAATGTGATCCAGAATACATGTACAGAGGTTGGACTTCAAAAAAAGGGCAACTTATTCATCAGAGATTGGTTTGATGTAGGAGATGGTGAGAGATGAACCAGAAGAGAACACTCATCAAATAGCCTCAATTTTTTTAAACTGGTTAAGTATGAGCTTGCAAGGTCCTCAGATGAGAGGGTAGGGTACTGTGAAAAACTGCAGGGGAAAAGAAGTTTGGAAAAGCCCCTGTGGCAAGTGACACAGAAAACTGTTAAGAGGATTTCCTAGCTGTAATGAGGACCCGGATGAGGAGAATAATAATAATAATTATTATTATTATTGTAGCCACCAACATTTATATAGCACTTAATCATGTACCAGGTACTGTGATAAGCCCTTTACAAATACTATTTCTTTTGATCCTTGGAATAAACGTGGGAAGTAGGTGCTATTAATCCTCATTTTACAGATGAAAAAAACTGAGGCAAACAGAAGTTAAGTGACTTGCTCAGCATCACACAGTTAAGAAGAGTCTGAGGCTAGATTTGAACTCAGGTCTTCCTGACTCCAGAACCAGGCCCTCCATCCACTGCACCATCAGCTGCCCCTAGATTAGATAATAAATTTGTAGTGGACCTGGTCAGCATGGCTTCATGACTATACTATACCATGCTAATTAACTTCTATCTTTTCTCCTTACTAAACTTTAAGTTCCATAAAGGTACTAACCATGCCTTATCTAAATTTTGCCTATCTCTAGCTCCTAGCAGTGTTTTTCATACAAAAAAATTAAGTTACTAAAAAATTTAATAAAGTTTTGTTGACATCGTTCATGCAAGACCATAGAACCTCATTACATCACCAAATTAAAGACAGTTGTAGGGTCAGCTCTAATCATTGGAAAGGCTCATAAATCCTCTATCATCCATGACTGAGCCCAAGTTCTAAGACCTGGAGGAAGGAGCCAGTCCACCTTTCTGACAATGTTTAGGAATCCTACTTGCAGAGTAAAAAGGAAAGACTTGTTAACTTCTTTAAAAAGAACCTACTTAAGATATGATCTCGAGTAGTAACCACTCACCTTTGTTGAACCAACGATACTCAAAACAATAAAGTGAGTAGAGAAGAGACATGTGCAGGAGACTGACCAACTGGCCAATGAGATGGATTGGGAACAGACTGACAAACATGCCCTGCAAAGGAATCACAACCAATTTGAGTTCTCTTCAAGATCCAATGGCAAGAATGCCATCTTCATCCATTCCCTCAATTATTCCATCTGTAAACAGACAGCCTTTCTCATTTTATTACTGAATCAGGCTTCCAGGGGAATATAATATATCCCATCCTACCTAATGCGTCTGGTAGCACTGATCAAAGACCCACTCCACTCTGCCACCCCTTCCTGTTTGTCACTAGAAGGCTAGTCTCACCTGGATCAGGAAAAGGGCCTGTAGTAAGAGATTAAAAAGCATGTCGGCGATGATCTTGCTGACACTCGGGAATGGTTGAGGTTTCCTCCCAGATACCTCGAACGCCAGGTCAGCAATATCCTGTAACACAGCAGGCAGTTCACCAGAACAGAAAAGATCGAGGCCATAAATCTTAATACAGGTGTTCTTAATCTGGGATCTGAGAACTTAGCTTTTTAATAAATATTTTGATTAACTGTATTTCAATATAATCAGTTTCCTTTTTAATCTCATGGTTTTAATTTTATTCACTTAAATACATTATTTTAAGAAAGGATCTACAGGGTTCACCAACTTGACAAAGGGATCCTTGTCATCCAAAAAAGGTTAAAAACCCCTGTTCTAAAGCAGGTCTGCACAACATATGACCTGAGGGCTGCTTATGGCCCAAATAGGGGCAGTATGTTGTGGAGGCCCAAGGGTATTAGGCGTCTTAATCACTTCTTCATAAAGGTCCAGTGAGCCCTATTAGCACTGTCTGAGAATAGTCTTGGGGCCTGAGGATGACCTGAGCAGTAGTTACATCCTTTACATTTTTCACGGGCTGTCCAAGATCCTTTGGCAGGCTGCAAGCAGTTCGAGAGCCTGTGGGTCCGAGGGCCACAAGTTTTACAGGCCTGTTCTAAAGCGTCAAGTCCACTGGCTATACCAGAATTGCTATCCTGGACAAGAATCCTAGCGAAATCTCTGTCCTGATTCAGGACACTATTCAGCAACGAGTTGTTCTACTCACATCTAAAATATCCAGTGATTCCATTTAAAAGGAACATTAAGAATTTCCTTGCCTATGAACACAAAATACCTAGCTATCATGCAGAAGTACATCTAAAGAAATGATTGCTACCAATAGTTCTTATTTCCAGGCTGCTTTGTAGGCTACCAAGTTACCATGTTTCAGGGCCAAGAGACTTAGTTCTGACCTAGACTTACCTGAAACCATATGGCATTCACCACTTTACTGAGCACAAACAGAGGGAGCACCCACAGAGCACTAAAGATAGAGGTGAGGATAAACTCCAGCCAGGACCAGACATCTCCATGCAGAGAGGGATCTCCTAAGAGATAAAGGAAAAAGTTACTATAAGAAACAGACCCTAGACAACCTACTAGGCTCTCCTGCTTTTCATGCTTTTCTACCTTGCCTCTCTTCCTATTTCTGGCTCAAAAACCATTGACGGTCAGTTGATCCCAGATTTAATCCTACTTTAATTTTTTTGATTTTCAATCAAAAGCAGAAAGGATTAGGAGCTCCCCTGGCAAAGCAGTGCTTACTTGGAAATGGGACGTGGCCTCCTTGGATGTTAGTGTAAGACTTGTAAAACTCATGACCACCCTCCTCACCCTAGTCCCAAATGAGGAAAGAAAAAGTATATACAGAAAAAGGCAACTGAGAACAATTTATGTACTTACCAATAATCTGAGCTGTTACTGACTGAAGCACAGGGATAAATACTCGGTAAAACAAGAGAAGACTCAGCTACAGAAGAAAGTCAATATGATAAATATGAAAAAAATTTTCATTAAAAACACAGGTTCAAATGTTCTAATCAATAGTCCACTCTCTGAAAAAGAAAAACTGTTGAGAACTTCCAACTATACAAACTCTTCTTTTTCCATCTTATCAAGATTAGCCTCTACAACCAGCCATCTTTATTTACGGTTTTCTCAGTTCATTTCCGCCTCCCAGGGTTCCAAATGAGTATGGCTGATAGAAAAGGCAAGTCCAATATTATCCACCTCACTACAAACTAGTGAGAAGTAAATTTTGAGATACAGAAATTTAGTGGTTCAGCTAATGGTCTGGCTGAAGAGCATCTTGCTAGTAGGCTGGGAGAGCCAGATCCACAAATAAAAATGCATGTTGTGAACTAAACCCTGAAACCAGGATCTAGCGGGAATAGAAGAATGTTTGTGTAGTTCCTCAAAGGACAAGATATCTAAGTGAGCAGACTGTCATCTACTATGCATTGCTTCCTAATTTACTATAAAAGAAATCCAAAGGAGAAATTCCAGTATCTACCATTAAGAAGTCTAAATTAATAGTCCTGTGTTCATCAATTTTTAGTTGACTGTGAGGTACTTGTTCTGCTAGAGGTTTTGATGGTCAGAAGCAGTGAAAACCTTTCCCCTCAGCAACCCAACAGATAGACATATTCAACAGCATGCATATCCCTTATGAAAAAACCAATACTCAAAGACTTAAAGAGCATTTCTACCCCCTAAAGATATAATAAAGTCAAAGAAGCAAGAAGCAAGAAATTTGGAATACGTGGTTTGGGTTCTGGTCAAGGGAAAGGGTGGCAAAAGCTTACTCACCCAGAATACTCCTCCATTCCAAGCACAGCACTGGAAAATTCTGCTCACTATCCTTGGTTCACTAAAAAAGATCCCACACACAGTCTGTGAAGCAAGCAGGCTGCTCCTTATTACTAAGCAGATCTGTTTTTCTCTTGTATTTCTATCATATTGATCTTTTAAAAGATTTTTAAAAACCAAATAGCTCACAATCAGCAAATTGGCAAAGATGACAAAAGATGAGAATAGTTTTAACATTGGAGAGTAGTAGAAAGATAGATATACTAGTACATTTTTGGTGAAGTTGTGAATTGGCACAGCCATTTGAAAAACAATTTGGACAATATACAAATAAAATGACCAAAATGTCCATACTTTTTTTAACCCAGAGATTCTATCACTAGGCATACACCAACAAGGACACTGATGTGGTGCTTGGGTGCTTGTACTCAGACCCCACTTCTAAGATCATATTTCTTTATAGCCTCAAGGCACTATCCCTGACAGTTTCCCTCCACCCCAAGGACCCTATCTCTGGCAAAAACTCGTGAGTGGGCCCAGTAAGGCAAACTATCTCTCCCTGTTACAAGAATAAGCTGACCTCTGTAGAATTTCCCTTGTACTATCTTCTATCAACAGAACTATCAAGTATTGATGCCCACAGTTACATATACAATCCAGAGGTCAAGCTATAGACATCGATTCCTGAAACTATTTTATTACAGACATGATAGACCAAAAATATACCTCTTAGGAGCCCTCTCTTCCCCTCCCCACAATTTCCCATAGTGAATGATGCTTGTGACCAAGATTGTATGTTATCACCTAATTAGCATACTTAGCACATAATTTACTGCTTTTCCTATATAGGCTTTAGGATCATTTCTGTTAGGTTGCAAGTTCCCTAACCAGCTCTACCCACCTCGGCAGAATTCATTAAGGACCTCTGCCTGCCACATTGCATAACAATAAATCTTTGCCACCTTGACTTTAAGAATGCTTGAGTCTGTGAATTCATTCCAGATGACCCCTTCCTATACTCCAGTCCTTGAGGGGTCTAAACCTCTCAGACTCCAACAGAGACCACTGATAAGAATCAAGCTCCCATACAAACCAAAAGATTTATAGCAACATTTTTTCAAAAGTACTTGATGGGAGAACAGTTAAATAGTGCTTTTTGAATGTATTAGACTATTACTATGCTATAAGAAATGATGAATATGAAGAATATACAGAGAAGCACAGGACAACTTACATGAACTGATGCAGAATGAAGTAAGCAAAGCCAAGAAAACAACATACACAATGATTACAACAATGCAAAGAGCCATCAACACAAGACAATCAAGAATGGATGCAGCAGAATTACAAACAAGCATGACTCCAAAGAAAAGATTATGAGAAGACACTTCTTCCCAACTCCTTTGCAGAAGTTGGAGGTCCATGAATGTCAAACATTGCATATATTTTCAGATTTTTGTCAATGAAGTTATTGTTTTCACAGATTTTTTTCTCCCCTTCTTCCTCTCTTTTATATAAAAAAAAATACACTGTTATTTGGAATGACTGGGGGTTAGGGGAGAAAGGGATGCAGGAGGAAATTTACGTGATGCAAAAACAGTATTTCGATTACAAGTTTACTAAGGACAGAGCATCAGACTGAGGAAGCCATTTATTGAATAGTTGTTAAAACTTTAAAAGTAAAAATGATCTGCCACTTTAATGATTCAGTAGTCACTATCCCAGAATCTCTTAGTCTTGGACCTTTGGAACTTCTGATCCACTTACTCTCAATCCCAGTTAACTCCTATCACCCAGCTCCCTTCTTCCAGCTGCTAGACTACTTGAGTGGGAAGGAAGGAACAGACATTTAATTAAGCACCTACTGTGCCAGGCACTATATTAAACACTTTACAAGTATCTCTTCTGATCCTCATCACAACCTTGTAAGGTAGATGCCTATTATTATGCTCATTTTTATAGTTGAGAAAACTGAGGCAGACAAAAATTAAGCAACTTATCCAGGGTCACTGGCATCAGAGACACACAGCTAGTAAATGTCTGAGGCTAGATCTGAACTCAGTTCTTCCTTCCAGGTCAGTCGCTCTATCTTATCCCTGAGGTAGTAACTTATCCCTGTAGTAACACTGGAATCAAACTGGTTTCATCCACTCACTCTCTAGCTATCTCCTCCATAGCCTTCTTCACGAACTGCCTTGCTGCAGACACCGCAGATCATGCCTTGAGGAACTTCTACCCTGCCCTGTCCAAACCACCCCTGCTCCACCTATGCCACCAAAGTGGTAACTGTCTCTCTGGGAATGCTATTTCAGGAAAGCCCCACCAGCAGGCTTCAGTTCATGTCCTCTTCTCTGACCTCCTCCACCAGACTCCATGCCCCACTGTGAACCTGTATGCCCTTTCCTTTCCTGCACCAGTTCTGGAACCCTGAACAATGATCAAAATCAGCTCTACTTGGATGGGGCATATCAATCAACTGCCCCATTTACCATCCCAGTAACTTTCAATACCAAAGTCCCCACCCTAGGCCATCATTATCTGTGTTGCTTTCTTCACAAGAATACAAGTTCCTTAAGGCAAAAGGAGGTCTTTTGTATTTGTAGTCCCAAAATTTAGCACTGTGTTTGGCACATTTTAAGCCCTTAATAAAATCATTCATTCACTATACATTTAAGGTATATCACCTCAACTTGACCTTCACTGCTACTTTTAGCAACTGCATTCAACGACTCTATCAACCCTCTACTTCATCTCTATCAGTTAATCCAAACTTTTTCTTACGTGCCTACTCCCCCAAACACTATCCCTTTACCCATCCCTATCCTTTGTAACATATGACTTAGTCTCCTATATAATTAGGACCACAGATCCAGAGCCAGACATCAGAAGCCTACATTTCCAACCCCTACATTGTATGGACAGGAAACCAAAACTCAGGTCAAGTGACCTTTCCAAGGACATATAGTTAACAAAGCTTATACCTGAGATTTCAACCGAGGTCTTCTTGATTCTAAACCTAACATTCTAACCACTATACCATGCTGTTTTCATAAGACTGAAGTTCCCTTAAACATCCTCCTGTACTACAACAAACTTACATATATCACCACTTATCCACTTGTAGAATAAATTTTCTTTACCTCCTATCTCAAAGGAACAAATATCTCAACTCACTGATAAGGCTCAATCTTCTATTTGTATCCCACACCCTCCTAGATACTCTGGGACCTAGTTTCAGCAATGACCCTCTTTCATGAATAGATGACTTTCTCCATCTTTATTGGCTCCTTCCCACCTATCTAAATCATGCTCATGAAATGGATGCTCATTGACTGGGAAAAGGTCCAAACAAACTGTGGTAAATGAATAGAAGAGTATTATGTAATAATAAATGACCAAAGGGGAATTCAGAGAAACATAGAAAGACATGCAAACTGATGAAAAGCAAAGTAAGCAGAATTGGTCTACTATACAACAACTAACTACAGTAACATAGATGAAAAACCTAAAAGGAAGTAATGATCAGTTTTGGTCCCAGACAACAGATCATGAAACAGGCTCTCCTTCCTCTTGTTAGAGGAGAGAATTTACAGGAGCAAGGCATTGCACCTACTATCAGACCAATCACTGTAACAGTTATTATTGCTGAATTCCTTTTTTTGTTACAAAGGAGTTTCTGCACAAGGAATCAATAGAGTGGATATAGCCAGAAATAATTATGATATAAAAATCAGTCACTGATAAAAGTTTAAAAATAAATAAAATCTTGCTCAGGACTTAACTAATTCTAAAAAAAAGGATACTCTGACCCTTCTATCACATTTAGCAACTGTCCTCTCTCTTCTTCCCTTCATAGGAAACCTTTGAAAATGTAATCCACATATTTCTTTCTCTTTCTCAGCACCTACTTTTTCATTAACTTCCTACACTATGGTTTTCATCCCCACTAATTTACTGAAACTGTTCAAAGATAGCCAGTGATCTACTAATTGCCAAATCCAAGGACATTTTCAGTCTGACCTCTCTGGATCATCTGATGCTGATTCTCCTCCATTTCTCACCCTTCCACACAACCTGGACTATATCCCTTGTATACTCCGAAATTTATAGTTCCATCCTTAAACTCTCTCCCCCGCCAAGTTCCAACTCTCATTTTTCAACACCTCTTTCCAACCTCATTCACCTAGGTTCAAATCTCCACTGATGTTTTTTAGCTATGTGACCACAATCAAGTTACTTTTAACTCTCTAAGTCTTGGTTATGGTGTTCTGATTTTATTATTTACAACTTTCACCTACTTATGATAGGAATCATGTCTTACTCAAACAGTGTACCCTTACCACTGTGCCGAGCATGCTATCCTACAAGCAATAGGTAATTTATTGAATTTGAGGATTTGATATTCTCTCCAAGGTGGTGATTTTCTGAAGAGTCTATAAAACTTGGTCTACATTCACAAAGATTTTTTCAGATAATCAGTGAATGGTAAAATTAAAACAAAGGTTTCTCAAATTTGGTGTTTCATCCACTAACTCATTTGTTTTTTCCCAATAAAAATATTTGCTAATCCATTTCCTAATATTTTATGTATGTAAAGCAGTAATTCCAAATCTTTACAAGACCATATTTATCTCAAGGAGTATTGCAGAAGTATCAAAAACATTCCAATCAAAGTTCAATTTAATTCATTTTATCTTAAAAATTAAATGGCTACACTGCATTGTGTTAGGGAAACAGAAAAATAAATTATAAAAGACTCTCAATGATAAGGTATTCCAACTCCAAAACCATGGGGAATCATTGATGGGGTTCTCAGTCCTCCTCCTCAAATATTCTCATCATATTCCTACTAGGAGCTACCAAATGAACTCCAAAAACTAATCTCACCACGATGATCTGCTCGCCTCACCTCTCCTGCTTCCGTTCCTCACTTTGGGCTCTTCTCTGTGCTAAAACACTGCTTGCCCTCCGTCGACGCTGCTCTTCTCTTTTCTGTTGGATCCGGGCATCCAATTTGGAGATGGTACAGATGCCCCAGATGGAGTCCTTGATTCCCTATAAGCAAAAGTGTTACCATCCTTTATTTCTAAAGCAGAGAGCATGCTGGCACAACAAGGAAGGCAAGTAAAAGCAGAGGTCAACCAATAAGAAGAAAACTGGACACAATTCTACTCACTTTGCTGAAATGCCAGTCCATAAGAGAAAAATAAACTTAAAAGCTAAGACAGAAGGTAATCTATATGGATGAGAGTCAATTCATAGTCAGATATCTGCTTAAGTTAATTTTCAACATTTTCTCTCCCTTTGGCCCTCTCAATGGAACCAGCTCCACATGGGTAGAATGGTGGTTCTGAGTGGGAAATGGCATAAAGATAGTTGGCCAAATTTCCTCCTGACTTCCCTGTTCTTGGCCTGATGGGGACATTTGCTAATCTTACCTAAAAAGTACCCGGCACAAGGAAGTTAAAGGGATCCTAGTTGAGTGAATTATCACAGGCTCTGTAAGCTTTGCTCCTCTCATCTAGGCCACTAAATGGACTAAGTAGTAATGTGGAGGCAGTGTGATAGAATCAACAGAACTAACTGGGAATCAGGAGGCCTGGGTTCCAGTCACATTCTTCATCTCTCTAGACCCCAATGTCTCACGTGTAAGAAAAGGGTATGGAATAGTTGAGTTCTGAGTAATCTCATAGCTCTAATATTCTGATTCTTAAAAAAAAAAATCAACCAACATGTGCAAGGTTTGCAGACTTCTAAAGTCAACTCCTTCAGCAAAAAAACCAGGAAAGATGAGTTCCTTTCTGAGGCATGATAGCATTACTTACCCTGACAAGATCATGAAGAAATGTTTTGACACCGTCAGCCATCTCTACTTCTGCATCACTTCCACCACCCAAACTATCAACTACAGGGAGAAGGGAAGAGAAGGAACCCCAAATCTCTCATCGTGAAGAGCCTGGAAAAACAGAGCCTAATGGAGAGAGAAAAAATATGATATTGTAAAATACAAAGCTAAATGCCTAGCTGAGGGGTGGAGAGAGGTATCAACATAAACCCTACAAGAAAAGAGAAATAGACTTTGATATGCTCTAGGCCACAAGTCAACTTTCAAGCTGCCTCTATAAAATCAACTGTTTTCTCAATTAATTTTTCAATTAATCTAACCTTGCTTGTTATTGTTGTTGAGTCGTTTTAGTCATGTCCAACTCTGTGTGACCCCATCTGGGGTGTTCTTGGCAAGGACACTGGAGTGGTTTGCCATTTCCCTCTCCAGCTCAATTTACAGATGAGGAAACTGAGGCAAACAGAGTTAAGTGACTTGCCCAGGATCACACAGCTAGTAAATGTCTGAGGTCATATTTGAACTCAGGTCCTCCTGACTCTAGGTCAGACACTCTATCCACTGAGCCACCTAGCTACCCCAAATCTAACCTATAGACCCCAAAGACACACAGATCCTCCTTATATTACTACCTTGAATTTATAAAGCACTTTCTTTCCAAAGAGTTCAAAGCATTTGTTTCAATTTTTTAAAGCTATTTTTATATGTCAGATAGGAAAAAGGCATCATTTGACCCTATTTTACATACAGATAAAATCAAAACCCACATAGTTTAAGTCACAGAGCCACTCACAAGCATTCCCCTGACTGCCATCCCAAGCAAAGGTCTTACACAAGCCTGATACCTACCATAATTCCAATGCCATATGTAAAGGTACATAAGGTAGGCACTCAGTTAACATTTGATAAACAGCAAATTGACAGGATTTTTTAAAAATGGCCATGAAATGACAAATTAACCAATGTGTGAAAAACTGTCATTGGATAGTATATTTAAAAGTCCAGACAAAGCTGAATTTCAATTCATACTGGAACACACTCACCTATGCAAATGGTAACTAACAGTTTTTTTTGCCTAAGAGGGCTTTGTTTGCGTCTCCAGGTTCTATTGAGGTAAGACAATGACGTGAGCTGTGTGTCTAGCTGCTAACAGCCAAAATCTTAACGGAACATGGATCTCTCTTTTCTCCCCTTATTAAGCACTAGGTCACCCTACAACCACTTAAATTTTCACTTGGAAAAAAATTCTAGTAGATGAAACACTGAATGGGGGAAAGGGAAAGACAGGTTACTCGATTTCCCTCTCTGGGCCTTGGTTTACCCATCTATAACCTGGTACAAACAGCTGCTTCTTTCTTTCCTCTTCATCCATGAAGAATTAGCCAGATAGTAGTATAATAAATCAGAGAAATTAAAATCATTACTATTGCCCTGAGAACTTGGGGAAGTACAGTCATGTATCAATAACATTGGGGTAGTATATATTGTTCAAAAGGGGGGGGGGTGTCTATTTCAACCTTCTTTTGTATAACCTCATTACATATAAGGTTGTTACTTCAGGATTTGAGCTTATGTGTAATCTGAGCTATGTTCTTATGAAACTACTAATTAACCATACTCCTGCCACAAATATACCTCTCCTAACAAACCACACAGTAGTAGACACACATGAAGCTGGTCATACAAATGATGTCATCTGCCCTTTAGGACCTTCTACATTTGAATTCTCACTTTGACATTTGTTGAGTATGTCCAAATTTAATAAGCATGCTAGATAAGATGTAATTTTCTGCAGAGAATTAACAAAGTTCTAATGTGAAGAATATAAACACATATTAATTTAAATTTGGAGGTGGGAAAAAGGACACCTACCAAAGAGGTGAAAAGTCAGACTACGTAGCTAAAAATATCCTTCACATTCAACTCCCAAATTCCTTGCCAACCAAAAATCCTTAATATAAAACATGTGACTGATTTTCTTGTGTGGCTTATTATGGAAGGAAACACCTCATGTTTCACAGCTGAAGAATAGGCGTATATCTGTGCTTGGTAACCTTTACCCATCTCAAAAACTGCAACTGAGTTTGACACAGCTGGATATATGCCCCTTGGAACTGGAAGAGCAGAGAACAAAGCCTGAGGAGGAAAACTTGCACAACCAAGCACATGCCTGCTCATGCTAATATGTATATATACATACATACATATTTTCTTCTAGGTAAAGAAATTTAAGAAAACCATAGTTCTAGCAACACTAATTCTGCTCACTACAGATTGTTCAATAAGTGTTCTAGTCATAATGGCAAAATCATACCACTACAATCTCACACCCTCTTCTTTCCTGGTTAGCCCATTTTCAGCGTCTAAGGTTTTGGCTACTATTCCTCCTCATATAATTATCCCCCCAACACCAATGCCCAGCATCTCACTCCCACAGGGTAGCATTAAGATGGGGACACTTTTCACTAAGATAATGAATGCACTGAGAATACTAGATCTGGAGTTAGGAAACATGGACTTGAACCTTGTCTCTAACAATAGCTAGATGACCATAGATTTAACCTCTCAAAGCCTCACCTGTCACACCCCTAAAACGGAAATGATCACACCTACATGACAGCACAATTGTTGTTAGACATAAGTGCTTGGCAAACTTTAAAGTGCTATATAAATGTGAGTTATTATTCACTCCAGTACCAGAGCAATTTTTTCAGGTACGAATTTTCTTAACCTCCTTGATTCCACATCGGCATCAGTAGAGTATGGAGGATATTCACAGGCCTCTAAAATACACAATGGGGACTGCCTGGGTAACTTCTAGAACCTAAAGATGGATGCCATTTCCTTTTAATTTGACAATAACATCTTAAAGACTTTAGTCTTTCCTCCCACACATCAATGAATGTTTTGTAGAGAATGCCCCTCAAACACCTCAAAATACAGTCTGATATAAAGGTGAAGGCATCAGAGAAAGCAATTTATTCACCCAGGTTTAAACCTAACTTCTTGAAAATCATGTTATCTTAGAGTAGGAAGGGACCAGAGAACTCAATGAAGTAATTCCTTTTACATAAGAGAAAAGGAAAGCCCTGAGAAATTAAATGACTGGTTCAAGGTCATTCAACTAGTTAGTGCCAGTCAAGACTGGGGCCCTTCTCTGGGGTCAGTGCTCGTCCCACTACACCTCCAAAGTGAACGATCACACACAACGCCTCCCCTTTTCTAACGACCTCTACCGCCTGGCCAAGAAAAGCCCTGGGAGGGGGCCGGCAGGTCGGGGGCCGCCAGGTCGGCAGCCACCGGGCGGCTATCCCCAGATGCTCCAGGTGGTGGGTCCTTCCTTGGGGGTTCCCGGCTAGCGAACCCGGCTAGTCTCCCTCCCCCCAACTCCCCTGCCCGAGGCCTGCCCTCCTCCTCGGGGCTGCCCAAAGGCGGGCGGGGCTGTGCCCTCCAAGTGCACTTCAACACATCAACAGGAGCCCGCCTGTGCCCCCCACCGCGCGCGCACACACACCACACGCACCCACCCACACTCTACACACGCACGCGCTTACGCAGCCAGCAGCCCAGGGCGTGCAAGCCGGGCCCCTCACTAAGCCCAAGCCCGAGCCCGAGCCCGAGCTCGCGCCCGCCCCGCTGCCCTCCGCCGCCCGGCCGGCCCCCGCGCACGCCCGTCTCATCCTCCCAGCCTGCACCCCGCAGCTGACCTGCCCGCGGCCCCGCTCCGCTCTTCTGGCCCCGGCTGCCGCCGTCGTCGCTCGCCGCCTTCCAGCCGGCGCCGCTCCCCAGGCCGGGGCCCGCACCTCCCGCACTGGGCATGCCCGGGCTGCACGGGGCAGGCTGGGAAGCTAGCGGGACCGGCGCTGCGCCGAGCGGCTGCAGGAGGAGGAGGAGGAAGGGGAGGAAGAGAGCGACGGCAGGGAGGGCAAGGAGGCGCATGCCTAGCTCTTGCCTGGGAAATGTAGTTCCAAGGCCTCCGCCCCGCCCCCGGCGGCAGCAGCTCTGCCCACCTGGGTGTATCCCCGCCCCCTCCCTCCATCCCCAACAGCAGGCTTTCTAATCACTCTTCCCTTTCTTTCCCCGCTTCCATTCTACTGAGTCAGTCAATCAATAAACTTCTATTAAGCGCCTACCATTTGCCAAGCACTGTGTTAAGCGCTGGGTGAGGCTCTCCTTACCTGCCCCAGCCTCAGTTTCCTCAAATGTCAATGGACTAGGTACCATCCTAGCACTTTCCAGCTCCAAATGGCCCTTCCCCCTTGTGGCTTTTTTCCCCCGTTCGGTTAATTTTGAGACCCACTTTCCTCTAGATTAGAAGGACAGGAAGAGGTATTGGTGATAAATAAAGACAAGACGGTTTGTGGGCCAAAATGGTCGGGAAAGCTGGTATGTGTGACCGTCGGTCACTGTAATGTGTTTACACCTTCCCGGAGGGCGGAAGAGAGAACACACTAAAAACATTCGGGGTAGTTAAAAGGAAGAACTGATATGTGTAAGGGGTCATTAATGGATCTGGGCCAGAGTGGGTGCAGGGCAGGAAATGAGCGATACAGAGATGACAGGGAGGAGAAAAGACCATCGTGGGCCCCAAAACAGGGGTTCTTAAAGTGGGGTGCAAACATATAAGGCAGCCAGTGAACCTGGATGAGAAAAGGGGGGAAATCACCTCTTTATTTTCACTAACCTCTAACTGAAAATTTGCATTTCCTTCAAATACTTAAAATCATTATTCCAAGAAGACGTGGTATTGGCAAACGGGTCAATCACACAAAACAGGGAAAACCTCTCAGCCTGAAGCATGAGTGAGTCCACTGCCCTGCTGGTCGTCAACATTGTACAGCTCTTTCCCCACCCGGCCAACGACCCAGGGCCCTGGTCACCCTGAGAGGTGTCTTTGCAGTTGTTCCCGGGATGCCACCACACCCTACCTGGCACCTGTACACTTTACATTTTCCCCCTTTTTTCCCCATTAGAAGATTGATTTTTTTTTTGTTGTTCCTAATCAATTTAACAATGAAAAGGAAACACACACACTTACCTTCTCTGCCTCCTTGTTCTTGCTCTTCTTTCTTTACTCTCTCACGACGATTTTGCCTCACTTTTCATTCACGTGGTGAGGAGAAATGAAATTTCTGAATGAAAAGAAATTCTGGAAGAAAACCAGTAGTTTAAATCTGAGCGTCCCCAGGAGGCGGAGCCAGGATGACAGTAGCAGGAAGCAGTAGAGTGAACTCCCCTCCCCTAAAAAATACTCTCTTCCAAATAGACCCAGAAAATGCACCAGACTGAATCCATGAGAAAACCCCAGAAAAAGTCACAGTGAGTTATTTTTCCAGCTCAGATTTGTAGCATGCAGGGAGAGGGAAAAGGTGACAACTGGCAGTTTTGTTGCCCGCTATGCAGTTGTAGGTAGGTCACAAATCCCAGGTGGACTGAGAAAGGGAACAGAGGAGAATGAGATGGTAGAGAAGGGAATAAGAATATATTAAACACCTCCTATGTGCCAGGCACTGTGCTAAGAACTTTGTAAATATCTCATTTGATCCCCACAACAACCTTGGGAAAGTAGGTGTTATTATTATCCCCATTTTAGAGTTAGGAAACTGAGGCAAACAGAGGGTAAGTGACTTACACAAGGTCACACAGCTAGGACAGCTACTAGGCTGGATTTCAGCTCATGTCTTCCAGACTCCAGGCCCCTGCTCTACCTACTGCACCACCCAGCTAGGGTGAAAGGTTCCTGGCAGTTTATAGGAAAGGAGCATCAGAAGCCAACAGCAACTGTATGGTTCAGACCCCAGGAGAAGAGCACATCTCAGTTCTAGCTTCTGGCCTAGTCTGAATCCTGTAAAAGGAAGAACCAGAAGAGGAGTTCTAGACCAAAGAGCTTGCAAATCCCTTGCCTGAGCTGTTCTTGAGATTTTGGAATAATACAACTCAATACCACAAGAAAGCAATAACAGAACCAGCGCAGACCTTCCCTAGAAAAGTGTGAAGAGCCCACCCCTAAAATTAAGTTCAAAGTCAGGAAGGAAGCTGAAAGAATGAGCAAACAAACAAAAATAAGAGTATCATCATTAAAAGTTATTATGTTGACAGGGATGTGCAACACTCAAACTTAGAAGAGTAGAACTTCAAAACCTCTACAAGCAAAACCTCAAAGCAAAACATAGCTTGGGCACAAATTCAATTAGAGTTCCTGGAAGAGATGAAGCAAGAGGTTGGTTCTTTTTTTAAGTTAAAAAAATTTTTATATATGAAATGAGAGCACTAGGGGAAATAATTGGAAAAGAAATGAAAGCCACGGAAGAAAGAATTGGAAAAGAAATTAACAAGTTGGCACAAAATCATACAAAACTTCGACTAAGTAACAAACTCCCTGAAAATTAGAATGGACCAAGTAGAAGCCAATGACTCCAAGAGGCAAAAAACAAATAAAACAAAGTCAAAAGGCTGGAGAAAAATAAAAGAAAATCTAAGGTATCTCATAGCAAAAACAACTGGCCTAGAAAATAGATCAAAAAGAAATAATTTAAAACTACCTTAAAGCTATGACAAAACAAACAAACAAGAAAAAAAGTCTTTCCTAGACATCATATTTCAAGAGAGAAGGGGAAATTAGAGGGAGGGTAGATTGAGGAAGGAATTAGTCCTAAGCATAAAAAACACTAAATAAGGATATACAAAAATATTTATAGCTCTTCTGACAGTGGCAAAAATGGGAATATGAGGGGGTGGCCCATAAACTGGGGAATGACTGAATAAGGTATAGTATATAAATGTGATGGAATACTTTTTGTAATGCACTTAGCAAAGTGCCTGGCACTTAGTAGGTGCTATATAAACGCTTATTTCCCCTTTCCTTGCCCCATCCCCTCATAGTCCCATTTTTTGCAACTACTTACTGAAGTTGGAGCTGGATACACATTTTTCCGGAGTGGTGCTGTGGTGAGGGCTACCTCGAAGCCGCTAAAGGTTTCAAAATCAGTCTAATCTAGTCAGCCAGCTTATATGTCTTCTAAAAGGAGTGAATGACAGATTCATGACAATGAGAATGCCACTTGTAGGAAGTGCCATTCCACCATCATCAGTGTATATGCTCCCACCATGATGAACCTTGATGAGGTCATAGAAAAGTGGGTTGTTTTTTTTGGCTAGGCAATGGGGTTAAGTGACTTGCTCAGGGTCACACAGCTAGTAAGTGTTATGTGTCTGAGGCTGGATTTGAACTCAGGTCCTCCTGAATCCAGGGCTGGTGCGCTATCCAACGCACCACCCAGCTGCCCCCAGAAAAGAGTTATGAAGATGTTTTCATCAGTGTGCCAAAAGAGGACAAGCTTGTGATTCTGGGTGACTTTAATGCCAGAGTAGGCACAGACTATTAGATATGGCAGGGAGTCCTTGGGAGAAATTGAGTCAGAAACAGAAACAGTCACTTACTATTGAAGACTCATGCATCCCATGACCTTCTCATTGCCAACACTGTCTTCCATTTACCTAAATGCAACAAAATGTCATGGATGCACCCTCACGGCAAGGCACTGGCATATAATAGACTACATCACTGTAAAGAGAAGAGACAGGCAGGATGTGAGAGTGACAAAGGCAATGTGTGGTGCAGAGTACTGGACTGATCATAGACTTATCCTCTCCAAACTAAACATTCACATTCAACAAAAGTGGCAAACCCAAAGCAAAGTGTCAGGAGACTCAACATCAACAGGTTAGAGTGCTTCCCTGTGCGGTAACAGTTTATTGCTGACCTTGTGGAAAGCTGAGTAAGTGCACAATTATCAACAGAGGAGCAGAAAAGGAGTGGGAAGTTGTCAGAGACTCGTTGTAGAGCACCATATTTGCTCATCTGGGCCAGAACACTCAAAAACATCAGGATTGGTTTCACAAAAATAATGGGGAAATTCAGAAGCTGCTAAACGAAAAACAAGAACTCCACAGGGTTTACCAGCAGGACCATTGTAAAGTGCAATAGCTGCATGACCCTGGGCAAGTCACTTAACCCTGATTGCCTCTCCAAACAAACAAACAAAAGCAAAGAGCAAGCAAAGTTTAGGGAGATGCAGGATTCTTGGCTTAGTAAGAAGGCAGATGAGAATCAGTTTTATACAGACAGCAACAACCCAAAGTGCTTCTCTGGTGCCCTAAGACTATCTATGGGCCAATGACCTCTGGTGCATCTCAACTACTCAGCAATGATGGAGACACGCCGATCAGTAACAAGGAGATGATCCTGAAGACGGGACTGAACATTTCCATAGTATTCTCAATAGACTGTCATCAGCTAATGCTAAAGCCATTGACCGTATACCTCAATTTGAAGTCAATTCCTTGCTAGCCAAACTTCAACTGAAGAAGATGTTTTGAATGACATTAAGCTTCTCTCAGGTAGCTCAGCCTGGTGCTGATTCCATCCCAGCAGAGATCTACAAGGAAGCGGTCCACTGCTCATATTGGCTGATTGAAATCTGGGTTATATGCAACCCCCAGGAGATCAAGGATGCCTCCATCATCCATCTCTATAAAAGAAAAGGAAATAAATTGTACTGTGAGAATTATGATGGGGGTGGGGGGGGTGTCTTTCTCTTAGTCACTGCTGTCAAGATTCTTGCCAGAGTCCTCTTTAATAGGTTTTTCTTCACCTGAAAGATGGTCATCCACCCAAGAGCCAGTGTGGCTCCAGAAAGGGCCAAGTAACAGCTGATATGGTGTCTCCTGCCTGTCAACTCCAGGAAAATGACAAGAGCAGAACAGAGGTCTGTACACAATGTTCGTTGACCTGACCAAGGCCTTTGATTCTGTTAGTCATGAAGGATCGTGGAAGATCATGGTGAAATTTGGTTGCCTGGAGATGTACTATTATACTCCAGTTTCATGATGGCATGCTTGCCCAGTTTCTGGATAAAGGATGATATTCTCACACTTTCCCAGTCACCAATAGAACAAAGCAGGGCTCTGTGCTTGATGTTTTTGGCAATGTTGTTGGATGCCTTCAACAAGGACAAAAATGGCATCAAGTCAGCTACCACATTGATGGCAAATTATTTAACTTGAAAAAGCTACAAGCCAACACTAAAGTGGAGGCAGAGTTGTTTTTGTTCCCAGATGATTGTACACACAATGCATTCTCTGAAGCTGAGATGCAACAGAGTATGGATCCATTCTCTGCCACTTGTGCTTATTTTGTCCTGACGATTAATACCAAGAAAACAAAGGTGCTCCACCAGCCAGCACCTCACCATCCATATGTGGAACCATTGTTACAGCAAATGGAGAAGTTTTGAATACTGTGGATAATACTGTGGATACCTTGGCAGTATCATTCCCAGGGATATATCCATAGATGATAAGGTTGATACACACATTACCAGAGCTAGCTCAGTGGTTGAGAGGCTCTGAAGGAAAGTGTGGGAGAAAAGAGGTATTAGGCTGTCTACCAAACTGAAAGTCTATAGAGCCATTGTGCTGATTTCACTGTTGTATACCTGTGAAACCTGGACAATGTACCAGTGCCATGCCAGAGAATTGAACCATTTCCATTTGAATTGCCCTGGGAAGATTCTGAGATCACCTGGCAAGATAAGGTACCTGACACTAAGGTCTTCTTTTGAGCTGAACTGCCAAGTATTCAAACTCTGCTTCAGAGAGCCCAACTCCAATGGAATGATCCCATTGTTTGAATGCCAAAATCATGTTTACCTAAAAGACTATTTTACACAGAATTTGCACAAGGCAAACACTCATGGGGAGGTCAAAAGAAGTGACGAGGACACTCTCAAGGTCTCTTTGAAGAACTTCATTATTAATTGTAAGACACAGGAGATGCTCGCCCAGGTCCTCCCAGCATGACATAACTGCATCAAAGAAGGTACTGTGCTTTATGAGCAAAGTAGAATCGAAGTAGTATAAAGGAAACATGAGATGTGCAAATCTAGAGACATATCCATCCAAAATGTTCAATGGATTATTTGCGCTCAACCTGGGGTAGAGCCTTTCAAACTCATATTGGGCTAATCAGCCACAGTCAAACACACTATATCTTGACCCCAACACCGTGATGTCATTGGTCCTCTTCCAGTACGAAGGATCACCAACATATATCTATGTTGTTGTTTATGTGCAGTCATTTTCAGTCATGTCCAACTCTTTGTGACCTCATTTGG